CATCATTGGGTCTCGAGCCGGCCGCGTTCGTAGAGCACCTAATATCTACTGCAAAGCACTACATCGCCTTTATAATTAAATGTAATACAGGCTATAGCAGGCATACAATTATAAGTCAAGTTGGAATTAGACATTATTGGTCGTTTGTGTTAATTTTATATAGAGTAGAAACGGAACCCTCCCGAAATTGCTGACAACAAACAATTGTTTCTACAATTTTAATCGTTTTTGTTTATGTTTCATGTTGATTACCACGGGTCGCCGTTACTACCTACTGTCGGCGTTTTTCGGGAGTATTCTGTTTACACCTGTATAACCTAATACCAATATCAAAAACGATACATAATATAAAAAAACTGTATACTGTAAATAAAGAAAAAAGTTACAATGTCAAATAACACATGATTTTGCTATCTGATTAAATTGCATCTTCAATTATTAAAGATGACATCGTAATTATAAAACTCAAAGTGTATGATTAAGTTGTATTTCGTCGTGTGATTGAGGTTACCGGAGGCCCAATTCCCCCCTCCCAAAACTCCCCAATTCCTGAATTCCCAACAATCGTCAAATTCCTTACCCCTAGAAGTAACCCCCAGTAAGTTGAATATTAAACCGAAATAAAACAATGAGCTTCCAGATATTAGTTAATAACGCGGTAGAGGAAGTAAAATGTGGCCATGATTTGGTGCAAGTCAGAATGAGTATAGCACGAATAAGTACATCAAGAAAAATGATACTTGTTATAGAAATATGTTTCCAATGAAACAACACGACAGGCTGATATCGCGAGAAAATGGGGAAAGCGGCTGGCTGGTTGTTTGCAGCACGCATCTTCTTACATGAACTGTTTCAACTTGGTCATTTGATACGATCTCATTATTCTAGACTAGATCAATGTATGTAAATGATTACGTACGAATGATGACGTATAATTTTAGGTTTTGATCTACGCACTTCGAAATGTATTAAAGACCAGCTGTTGCCCGCGACTTCGTCCGCGTAGAACATGATTCCTGTTTTATTGCACGGGAGCATTTAATAGGCATAAATATAACGTATCACCTATCAGTGTCTGTCAGCCTATACCCTACCTGTGTACCAAATTTCATCAAAATCCGTTCAGTAGTTTCAGCGTGTTTGACGGACAAACATCAAAGTAACTTATACATTTATATTATTAGTGGGATTAAAACATCGATTTAAAAGGTGCACCTTCGTTTGTATGATATGCGTTTAATGTTTTTTATGTAGAGTACTATATATTTATTAACTCTGTAATCTATACTTCTATACTAATATTATAAAGAGGAAAGATTTGTATTTTTGTATGTTTGTAATGAATAAACTCAAAAACTACTGGACCGATTGCAATAATTTTTTCACCATTAGAAAGCTGCATTATTCAGAAGTAACATAGGCTAAAAAAAATCACGCTAGGTCCTGTTATATATGTTATATATAGTTGTGGAGCAGTAACCAAAAAAAATTTAAAAACGGGGGAAAGGTATCGTTTCTGAGGCCTTCCGTGGCGTGCGCAAAAAAAATAGTTAAAGTTAAACAAAAATGCTCTATACCTCTAGATGAATTGTTCATCAAAAAAAAATTTTTAAAAAAGTCCGCGAGAGCGTATGTCTTCCTTTTATAGTTTACCCAAAAAAAACGTTTTAATGAATGGTTCAATCCTTATAAAAGTTTGCTCTAGATAACTTTAAAAAAAATCAATCGGTTACCTTAAGACTATTAATTCATCCAAAAGATACCTATTAGGTAAGTACTTACCTACTATTTCAAAAATACATAAAAAAGGCGCGGGGTGAACAACAAAGAAAAAAAAAAAAAAAAATAAAAAGATGTAAATATTTTTCAATAAATGTAAAAAAACAATTTAAAAACAAACTTTTACCTCAACCAAAACAAACAACAACAAAATAGGTAGGTTCCTATTTAAGAAGAAAATAATTAATTAAATAAATGAAATAAGTAAATGAAGTCCGGAAAAATATTTTCAAAGGGTAAATACTTCCTAAATAAAAAACTGAGAATAAATATAAATAAAAAAAAAAACTATAAAAAAAATCTTAAGTCCCCCCGTGCGAAGCCGGGACGGGCCGCTATCTTTTATAAATTTGCCGTTATATTGTTACATTTTGTAAATGTAAACGATGTTTATTGAATGGTTTACATTCTGTGTCATCTTAGTTAAGGTATGTCACAGTAAACATATTTTAATGAAAATTAGAATCCATTTCGATTATTTGTATTGAAATAAATATAGGCACAATGTTTTCAGTCAATTCCTCTTCCTTGACTATAATATGAGGAAAATAACAATAGAAATGAAAATTATAATATCACACAGCGCTAGGAAAAATGTGGGGGAATTTCGTAGCACATATAATTAAAGAAACTCGGGAAATGATATAAATTCTATATATATTTATCCAAACATAGCTGTATGTTATAGAAAAACTTGTAATCGAATAATGTTTACGTAGTGACATCAGAACCAGATCTAGGAAAACATGAAGTGGCAAAAAAACAGCTGTTTATTAAGGTAAAGGTACCTGTATTGAGGAACAGGTATTGTAATATTAATAGGCTGAGGTAAACATAGTGGCAATATAGCAATAGCTACATGATTAAAAAAAGTCCGCAATTGTAGGATATTTGTACATAAACTGTTAAATAACATACAATCATAACATTGATTTCGTAACTCTATAATAATACATATATGGGTGTATAAATTTTTTTTCTAGATTAATCTTAAAATTTGTTAATAAAATACGTTTTAATAAATTTTAAGATTAGACATTAGTCAAACCATATCAATACGCTATCTTAGTAGAAGGTTGATAAGTCACAAGCTATATACATTTCTTCTTCCTGACTTCATTGGCATTATAGAAAATAATAATAATGACACAGTATTAATACATTTTTAAGAACAATTTCCTAATTTGGGCTGTACATTATGTTTCGTATCTGAGACCCCAAGAATCAGTGACTGAGTTATTGTATACCTATATGTGTTAGAGCAAATTTTTTGTTAGTTTCGAACTGGCTCTATTAATAATAAATTGGTTTCCGAATGGGTCGATTGTATAAAAAACTAAATTGGCCCAATAAATCATACTGTATTGTTACTCTTAACTGCCTTGTAGACCTTTTGCGTACAAAGTATCGCAATAAACATAGGCGTTTAGGTATTTAATTTGTAGTTATCCGCCTGCGGCTCTGTCCGATCACCAGGGAGGTACCCTGACAGGAGAACAGAGCCAATGTAGGTATGTTAGTAGGACCCTTTTGTAGTACCTGTCGATGTCGTTCAAATTCGAGTCACTCTATTTTTTTAATTTATTATTTTTACTTTCCCCTTCTACGTTAGTTGCTTCGTTCACAATTCATATAAAAATAAATCATTCCCAACTTCTCCTGCATCAAATAAGAAATACATTCTGTTCAAGAGCCACAATAAACGAAGTGCTAAAACATATCAGATCTTGTATTCGTAATCATGGGATTGGGTATCCTGAATACATTTTTTTGCATAGTAGTACAGTGCACGGCGGCAAATATTGCACATCAGCCTTTTGGAAACTTATATTATCAAGGTATTCTAGTGTTTTGAGACTTAACTCGTGCTTTTTGCTCGTGCGTTAGATGTTTCAATAATCTACTATTTTAGTCATCCGACCGAAATCCCATATAATGAAGTAATTTTAACCGACCTTAAAAAAAAGACGGAGGTTGGAGTCGGTTTTTAAACTTAGTATATTAAAAATTATACTCAGTGTTTACGAATTTGTAAATCTTAATTATTGCTTACTATTATATTGAATCTGACAGCGAAACGGGCAAAATGTATACGACCACTATATTATAAATCTGTAACTAAATTTTATGTAAATAAATTATTTGATTTAATTTGTTCAGATAAGTAGTCCTATTTTAGTTAAATAGTACCTACCCGCTGGTAAATATTGCACGTCAGGACGTGCAGTGTACGTATCATTATGTATTATATATTTCATAATTTATGGAAATTCTAATCGAACTGTGTTTGTGTTGTGTTGTGTTATGACATGACTATGACCGTTGCAAAAACTTGTAAATTAGTAGATAGAAATGTTTTATGTATTTAAATTATAATTTTAGTTTTGTTCTGTTGCGTATTAATACCCGAATTACAAAAAGGAGGTTGTCTATTTTTAGTACTCTGACCCTCAGTCAATGAAGAAATTGGTTATGTTCTTCATGCCCAAAGAATCAAATAAAATACATATTAAATTGTATGTACTGTGTAAAAGTGTCAACAGAAAAGTACCTAATATGTTTCGAAGTCGACTTTCGAACTTTGGTGTCTATTTTTATAAATAGTAAAAGTAATCCAATAAATTTCCAAATAAATAAGTCCGAGGTTCATACATCCAATAATAGATTAGTAATCTGCACCTCATGAATTGTAACCGTTCTTACAACAACAAGGCGAACAAAACAGTTATATCACCAATAATTTCAAAACTGGGCCTTTGCCGTAGTATCTCATTGATAGCGAGTTACCGCTGTAGTGCCGTACAAGACGCATACGTAGTTGTTGTACTTGACGACGCATGCACAAAAGCTTGCTGCGCGCTTAATGTTAATGTTGCTTAATTAGGGACGGTTCTGTCAAGTACCGCATAATACTCACTCAATGTTAAGCAAATTTAACAAATATACGGTGCCATGACATTAAATACAATCATTTACAAATCAAGCCCACGATGATGTGCAATCACAATCATGCAACGAAAAGTAAAGGGTAGCGCTTAACTTTAGAATTTAACAAACGTAAAGTTGTGCAAATTGTTGTAGAAACATATTATGATTTAAGTATTATTATGATGTTTTGTAAACTTCTACACTATGTAGCGGCAGTCACCTGGGGCTGAAGAGTTTTCTTGCAAAGTTAAGGGTAGGTAACAATATCGTAGTCATTTAATTAGCGAACTGACCTGTTTCGTACGGAAGATCTTGATGCAAGGGTGAGATTCCTCTGGGGCAATCGCGGCGCCGACGAAGACGTCGGCGGGGTTTGGGGCGCGGGCGGAGAAGTGCGGGGCAAGCGACCACCCGCCGCTGCCGCGCCCGCCAGCAACACCACCATCCACCACCTGGACATCACGAGAGCACGATATGCACGAGACGCGCGACTCACGCTTCGAAACCTACTGTCACAACGGCCACTCGCCGACTTACGGCGTCGTCTGCGCACGCAACGCCGTTCACTTTTGTTGTGCTTGTGGTAGCGCCCCACTCCAATGAAAGTGGGCTTTCACTAGAGCCCGCGGCCGCGCAGCCAACACCACGCTAGTCGTGGCCCAGCCCTCAACATCTGCCAACAGAAACGCACCTACTTAAGTGCTTTAGGTAATCCGAGGAATCAACTGTAAACGCAAAAATATATAGTATATAGTACCTACTTTTCCTAAGTACTTTTTTTTACAAATAATACAGACAACAGACAGGTCAACTTATTTCTTTCTGTGAAATTTCTTTATAATAATCTTACATATCGTATTTTTATGTTACTAGATGTCATTCTAAACGATGTAGATCACATAAAGTTCGGTGCTTGCTATAATTAACCTGGGTAAATAAGCGTACCTCTACTTAAGGTAAATATCTCGGAATATGAGATAATCGATTGAAAACTTATGAAAAACTTTATTTTGACTACATACCTAATACTTGTCTCAAAATGTATTTTTTCGTAGGGAGTACGCATCTATAGAAATTTGATGATATATGTATACACCAATAGCAGTCATGGAAATGACTACAGACACCTAGTCGGGTTCAGAATCATACAATCTAACGATTTTATAGGGTTTTTGCCGTATTGCTATGAGACAAAAATTTTGGTCGTCATCTCTCTAACTAATAGATAAATTAGATTATATTAGAGTAATAACTTTGAAATGAGAGATAGTCGGCTATGAACTTGTAAAAACCTTTGTTATGACAACCTGAAACTTGTCTCAAAACCTACTTACCGTCAGGTGTACGCGACTACAGAAATTTTACTATCCATCAAGAAAAATACATTTTCTACATTATGGAAAATATCGTTTTTATGGTATTTGCATGTCTGCAATATTGTAGAAAATTAAATTAAACTATTGTCTCATTTTTTATATCTTGAACTATTTTCAGATAGTAGAGGTAGATGATAATAGATACAGATAGTGCACAGCACGCGCATTTCTTGATTATTTACAGTATTATTCGATTACCTAAAGCGAAAGTATTCGAATACCTAAAGTTTATAAATTATACTGGTGAATTATAATTATAAAAAAAATTACATTGTAAGTTGACTTCTTTTTTTGGGCCCTTTCCGAAAGTGAAAATGGCCAACGAATAAAAATTATAAAAATCATAGAATTTGGCCATTTAGAGCGATAGATAATATGGCGTAAAAGTTGTGTTCTGTTGACGGAAGATGAAGAAGTTACACCAGTTCGAAGATTCATCATTTTCATACATTTATTGCTTTTTAAAGGTGCTAGGAAATGCAAAATAATGATCGATATTGTTAGAATAAAGATCCGAAAGAAGAAAGCGAAAAGTTTTCGCTGTATTTTTTTTTTTTTTGTTAACCCATGTACAAATTGCTCCTCGCGTCCTGATGAGGAAGGAGTGCCAGACCAGACCGTTAGTATCTAAAAAGCACAACGTTCGGCACTTTCAGAAAAGGCTCAAAAATGTATGGAGCCGAAATGATCTCCTTCCTGTGGTTACAGACACCCTACGATATGTAAGTATTGAGATAAGTTATAGGTTGTTAAAATAAAGGTTTTTGCAATTGTGTAGCTCGCCATCTCTCATACCGAGATTCCTATCTTCATATTTGACTAATTTGACAGCTGATGAATTTACTCCACCTTGTACGTACCTTGTAAGATATTAAAAAAGCTATTAGAAATATTTGCAATAGGTAAATATGTAAAATATCGTTTTTTGATTTTTGATTATCACTGCCTCGTTGGCCGAGTGGTCGCAAATGCGACTTGCCGGGCAAGGGTCTCGGGTTCGATTCCCGGGTCGGACAAATAATACTGGGTTTCAAAAAAAAATCTCAGTAGTAGCACGGAGTCTGGAATTGTGCTCGGTATATGGCATTAGGCTCACCCCCTATTACATGGGACTCATAACACTCATAACATAAATAGTGAAAAGCGGGTATTCTGTGTGCACCTATGCCTACCCCTTCGGGGATAAACGGCGTGATGTCATGGTTATCTTATTTCTATAAAAGTGGACGCCGATAGATTTACTTTTGCACGTCTAACAACTGGAAGTACTTGCAGCTGCTATGATAGATGTAGGTTTTGAGACAAGTGCTAAATGGTCAAAAGAAATAATTTGTACAAGTGTTTAGCTGGAGATTAGCGAGCTGGGACAGTCAAATACTCTTCAGCTTAGATAGTAGTAAGATGATATAATTGTAACCCAAGTAACTAATGAGGTCGAGCCAAGAGTCATCAAATCCAACATTACAATGGGTTGGATTTCAAAATTGAAAGTTCTTCCTCAGTAAAAATTTATTTGAGCATTGAAAAATTGGCCCTTAGTCAATTACTGCGATATAAAAACAAGCTTAAACTTAGTATTCCAAACTGATGATGCATAAGTTACATGAAGCAAAAATAAAAAATGTTATCAGATAATAATTACATGTATCTCTGCTGACCACTATCACTAACTAGTACCTACGCGTGTGAACAGTTTGGACACAATTTCCAGACACAAAAATTCCGAATTAAATGTAAACAGCACAGATATTAATGTCCGACATTTATTTTAAATTTTTGACGTACTCTTAACGTAAGCACCTCATGATAATATCATACTACTAGTACTTAATATGATATTATTGGCGCTAGCACCATCTATTGTATATGAGATTAACATATTATGGGAAATACCTAGCATCCTGTTGAATATACCCACCTGCCCACCATATACCCAATCTGACTACATGGGACGATTAAAAATAAAATAAATATTTAACTTAACATAGTCAGTATTGCTAAAGGAAGTGCATTTAAAAATATCTGTCCATTGGAGAGTGATTTCTAAGAGTAGGAGGGTTTTAAAGGTATCTCGCTTGTCAGTACCCTCCCAACCATTTAAATGTGACCTCACCCCCACCTAGCAAACTGGCAGATTACGGGTTTTTCATTATCAGAGATACATGGAGCATGCACACTTTCAAAGAATTTTACAAATCGAACCTGTGGTTCAGTAGAATAACGCGATCAAACGGATTAGGTATTTACTCTACATCTAAGCTATTTACACAAAGAAATCGAACATTCAGGCAAGATGTTGTACAATGCTTAGCCTTATCGCTTCAAACTTATGAATATTCCTACTGAAACGAATATAAAAAGTATATTGTCCGGTTTTATTGTCGTAATATTATATTTCCAATCTTATGATTTCCTGTAGGTATCCATATATTATTATGAATACAAATATATGTTTGTTTATCATCATGCACAATAAAATAAATCAGTGATTCGATCTTTCACCTTTTTTACGTAGCATACGGCATACCTATATTAATATGTAATATAAATTGTACCTTCAAAATAGTGGTCCGCGTCTGGACTACGGCACGGAGTCAACACACAGTCACAACATACAACATACAGAATGTCATTACAGAGGACTCTCTCGTTGAAGACTTTAAGCTTTGCGGTATATGTGCAGAAAAAACTGGATTGCATTTGGTAAACGCTGCCCAGCCAAGTTCTGTCCCTGTACGAGCCTTCTTCGAAGTTATTGGTTACTTCTACCAAACTGCAAGGATTTTCCCAAGTCAACGTATTCCTGAACAACCACTAGAGGCAACCCGTTTAGTATAATTGTCTCATCTCCGGACGAACGTGTACATTGAACAATCTTTTGTCTTTGTCCAAGTCCATGCGGAATAATCAGCCAGGTTGCTCAACATATCTATACGAGGACGGTTTGATAAGTCCGTGACTTTTTGAACAAAACATTTTTTTGCGACAAATAAACATTTTATTTTTTACATAATCACCTTTTAGCTCGATACATTTAGTCCAGCATTTTTTAATTTTGTTATTCCCTCCAAATATTAGGTATTCTCAAGGCTCTCAAAATACGCGTTTGTTTCGGTAATGACTTCTTCATTAGATTCCAATCTCTTACCACCCAGCCATTTCTTTAGGTTTGGAAACAGATAATAGTCGCAGGGGGCTGGAGATCCTATCTCAATTCGTGGATTTTGGCCATCGTCACTACAAGTGTGCACACGTGCATTGTCTTGATGAAACAGCACTTTCTTCTTCGCCAAATGCGGACGTTTTTGCTTCAAGTCAATGTCGAATCTGTCCAAAAGCTTTGAATAATATTCGCCGGTAATTGTTTTACCTTTCATGACGTAATCACTGTGAATTGCGTGCATCCCAAAAAACTGTGGCCATGACCTTGTTGGCTGACAGGCTCTGGTTGGCCTTCTTTGGTCATCGTTCACCCCTAGCAACCCACTGGAGGTGGGATCTGGAGGCGGTGGTGCTCGCGCGCGTGTATCGCATGCGCGCGGAGGCACGTCGCCGGCGGCAAAACTCCGCTGCCGCACCAGATAAGTGCGTGGCGGGAAGAGCTCTGGTGCGATCAAAGTCAAAGTCAAATTCAAAGCATTTATTTCAATTAAAACCATAATTTGGTACTTTTGAAACGTCTACAAATACAAAATAAATAATAGTCTGTCAGTCAGTCCGTCAGTGAAGCTAGGTGAGGCTTGGTGCTCATTCCAAAATGTAGATTCGAATGGAGAAGAACGAGCAAGAAACTCCATTCGTTACTCTTTTTAAAAAAGTATGTTCTACAATGTCTCTGATACATATTCCAATACTGTACGTATATGGGAGAACAATGCAAAGACACGCTTGACGCATTGTACGTACTAATGACAAATCTTACTAAAATAATAAAAATAAAAATAATACAATCTTATAGTCTAACATGGTGCTCACATACGCATATCTACTGACAATCTATAAAAATATTGCTTCTATACAAGAAAAAGGAAACTCTTTGTTTCAATAAAGAAAGAAATGCTCGATGCCATAAGGAAATTAGATTGTCTATATTAGAATGTTTTTTTTAAATAATTAAATTACCTACTATTGGAATCTAACTACTGAAGTACTGACTATTTTTTTG